ACAGCAGCCTAAGCATCTGGTCTCATTGCAGTCGGTCGAATGTTAAGAATGACACGGTCGCACCAGTAAGGCTTCAGTCACATCCGGTTGTGATCATGAGAACTTAAGATGTGAATAGAGCGTGCTTCGTTGCCTGATCTTCGAGCATAGTTGTGGTAGTTTCATTGTGACGAGCAGTACATCTGACAATCGAAGCAGCTGTGCGGTCCGATATTTCAAGTGACCATATCTTTGAAACGAGGAGTCCGTAGAAAGTATAAATGGCTGTTCTGTAGAGAGGGTGTCTATGCGGTTCATTGTAGTGTGCTAGGTTTGCTGTATCAGCTGTTTGATGTGTCAGTGGGAAGTGACTCGCTCGAGCTAGCACTTTGGCGCAGAGGAAGCGTGTTGGGCTCATAACCCAAAGGTCGTTGGATCGAGACCAACAAGTGCTATCTTTATCCATGGACTCTCTGCATCGCTTGTCTCTGTTAAAACTCGTGTAGTCTGACTGCCCGACCGATTGATGCATCGGGTAGTATTGGAGTATTCATTCGAGACCGAAAACAGCTGCATCAAACGTGTCAGCACGCAGCGTTATTGTACAGCAGCCTAAGCATCTGGTCTCATTGCAGTCGGTCGAATGTTAAGAATGACACGGTCGCACCAGTAAGGCTTCAGTCACATCCGGTTGTGATCATGAGAACTTAAGATGTGAATAGAGCGTGCTTCGTTGCCTGATCTTCGAGCATAGTTGTGGTAGTTTCATTGTGACGAGCAGTACATCTGACAATCGAAGCAGCTGTGCGGTCCGATATTTCAAGTGACCATATCTTTGAAACGAGGAGTCCGTAGAAAGTATAAATGGCTGTTCTGTAGAGAGGGTGTCTATGCGGTTCATTGTAGTGTGCTAGGTTTGCTGTATCAGCTGTTTGATGTGTCAGTGGGAAGTGACACGCTCGAGCTAGCACTTTGGCGCAGAGGAAGCGTGTTGGGCTCATAACCCAAAGGTCGTTGGATCGAGACCAACAAGTGCTATCCTTATCCATGGACTCTCTGCATCGCTTGTCTCTGTTAAAACTCGTGTAGTCTGACTGCCCGACCGATTGATGCATCGGGTAGTATTGGAGTATTCATTCGAGACCGAAAACAGCTGCATCAAACGTGTCAGCACGCAGCGTTATTGTACAGCAGCCTAAGCATCTGGTCTCATTGCAGTCGGTCGAATGTTAAGAATGACACGGTCGCACCAGTAAGGCTTCAGTCACATCCGGTTGTGATCATGAGAACTTAAGATGTGAATAGAGCGTGCTTCGTTGCCTGATCTTCGAGCATAGTTGTGGTAGTTTCATTGTGACGAGCAGTACATCTGACAATCGAAGCAGCTGTGCGGTCCGATATTTCAAGTGACCATATCTTTGAAACGAGGAGTCCGTAGAAAGTATAAATGGCTGTTCTGTAGAGAGGGTGTCTATGCGGTTCATTGTAGTGTGCTAGGTTTGCTGTATCAGCTGTTTGATGTGTCAGTGGGAAGTGACTCGCTCGAGCTAGCACTTTGGCGCAGAGGAAGCGTGTTGGGCTCATAACCCAAAGGTCGTTGGATCGAGACCAACAAGTGCTATCCTTATCCATGGACTCTATGCATCGCTTGTCTCTGTTAAGACTCGTGTAGTCTGACTGCCCGACCGATTGATGCATCGGGTAGTATTGGAGTATTCATTCGAGACCGAAAACAGCTGCATCAAACGTGTCAGCACGCAGCGTTGTTGTACAGCAGCCTAAGCATCTGGTCTCATTGCAGTCGGTCGAATGTTAAGAATGACACGGTCGCACCAGTAAGGCTTCAGTCACATCCGGTTGTGATCATGAGAACTTAAGATGTGAATAGAGCGTGCTTCGTTGCCTGATCTTCGAGCATAGTTGTGGTAGTTTCATTGTGACGAGCAGTACATCTGACAATCGAAGCAGCTGTGCGGTCCGATATTTCAAGTGACCATATCTTTGAAACGAGGAGTCCGTAGAAAGTATAAATGGCTGTTCTGTAGAGAGGGTGTCTATGCGGTTCATTGTAGTGTGCTAGGTTTGCTGTATCAGCTGTTTGATGTGTCAGTGGGAAGTGACTCGCTCGAGCTAGCACTTTGGCGCAGAGGAAGCGTGTTGGGCTCATAACCCAAAGGTCGTTGGATCGAGACCAACAAGTGCTATCTTTATCCATGGACTCTCTGCATCGCTTGTCTCTGTTAAAACTCGTGTAGTCTGACTGCCCGACCGATTGATGCATCGGGTAGTATTGGAGTATTCATTCGAGACCGAAAACAGCTGCATCAAACGTGTCAGCACGCAGCGTTATTGTACAGCGGCCTAAGCATCTGGTCTCATTGCAGTCGGTCGAATGTTAAGAATGACACGGTCGCACCAGTAAGGCTTCAGTCACATCCGGTTGTGATCATGAGAACTTAAGATGTGAATAGAGCGTGCTTCGTTGCCTGATCTTCGAGCATAGTTGTGGTAGTTTCATTGTGACGAGCAGTACATCTGACAATCGAAGCAGCTGTGCGGTCCGATATTTCAAGTGACCATATCTTTGAAACGAGGAGTCCGTAGAAAGTATAAATGGCTGTTCTGTAGAGAGGGTGTCTATGCGGTTCATTGTAGTGTGCTAGGTTTGCTGTATCAGCTGTTTGATGTGTCAGTGGGAAGTGACTCGCTCGAGCTAGCACTTTGGCGCAGAGGAAGCGTGTTGGGCTCATAACCCAAAGGTCGTTGGATCGAGACCAACAAGTGCTATCTTTATCCATGGACTCTCTGCATCGCTTGTCTCTGTTAAAACTCGTGTAGTCTGACTGCCCGACCGATTGATGCATCGGGTAGTATTGGAGTATTCATTCGAGACCGAAAACAGCTGCATCAAACGTGTCAGCACGCAGCGTTATTGTACAGCAGCCTAAGCATCTGGTCTCATTGCAGTCGGTCGAATGTTAAGAATGACACGGTCGCACCAGTAAGGCTTCAGTCACATCCGGTTGTGATCATGAGAACTTAAGATGTGAATAGAGCGTGCTTCGTTGCCTGATCTTCGAGCATAGTTGTGGTAGTTTCATTGTGACGAGCAGTACATCTGACAATCGAAGCAGCTGTGCGGTCCGATATTTCAAGTGACCATATCTTTGAAACGAGGAGTCCGTAGAAAGTATAAATGGCTGTTCTGTAGAGAGGGTGTCTATGCGGTTCATTGTAGTGTGCTAGGTTTGCTGTATCAGCTGTTTGATGTGTCAGTGGGAAGTGACTCGCTCGAGCTAGCACTTTGGCGCAGAGGAAGCGTGTTGGGCTCATAACCCAAAGGTCGTTGGATCGAGACCAACAAGTGCTATCCTTATCCATGGACTCTCTGCATCGCTTGTCTCTGTTAAAACTCGTGTAGTCTGACTGCCCGACCGATTGATGCATCGGGTAGTATTGGAGTATTCATTCGAGACCGAAAACAGCTGCATCAAACGTGTCAGCACGCAGCGTTATTGTACAGCAGCCTAAGCATCTGGTCTCATTGCAGTCGGTCGAATGTTAAGAATGACACGGTCGCACCAGTAAGGCTTCAGTCACATCCGGTTGTGATCATGAGAACTTAAGATGTGAATAGAGCGTGCTTCGTTGCCTGATCTTCGAGCATAGTTGTGGTAGTTTCATTGTGACGAGCAGTACATCTGACAATCGAAGCAGCTGTGCGGTCCGATATTTCAAGTGACCATATCTTTGAAACGAGGAGTCCGTAGAAAGTATAAATGGCTGTTCTGTAGAGAGGGTGTCTATGCGGTTCATTGTAGTGTGCTAGGTTTGCTGTATCAGCTGTTTGATGTGTCAGTGGGAAGTGACACGCTCGAGCTAGCACTTTGGCGCAGAGGAAGCGTGTTGGGCTCATAACCCAAAGGTCGTTGGATCGAGACCAACAAGTGCTATCCTTATCCATGGACTCTCTGCATCGCTTGTCTCTGTTAAAACTCGTGTAGTCTGACTGCCCGACCGATTGATGCATCGGGTAGTATTGGAGTATTCATTCGAGACCGAAAACAGCTGCATCAAACGTGTCAGCACGCAGCGTTATTGTACAGCAGCCTAAGCATCTGGTCTCATTGCAGTCGGTCGAATGTTAAGAATGACACGGTCGCACCAGTAAGGCTTCAGTCACATCCGGTTGTGATCATGAGAACTTAAGATGTGAATAGAGCGTGCTTCGTTGCCTGATCTTCGAGCATAGTTGTGGTAGTTTCATTGTGACGAGCAGTACATCTGACAATCGAAGCAGCTGTGCGGTCCGATATTTCAAGTGACCATATCTTTGAAACGAGGAGTCCGTAGAAAGTATAAATGGCTGTTCTGTAGAGAGGGTGTCTATGCGGTTCATTGTAGTGTGCTAGGTTTGCTGTATCAGCTGTTTGATGTGTCAGTGGGAAGTGACACGCTCGAGCTAGCACTTTGGCGCAGAGGAAGCGTGTTGGGCTCATAACCCAAAGGTCGTTGGATCGAGACCAACAAGTGCTATCCTTATCCATGGACTCTCTGCATCGCTTGTCTCTGTTAAAACTCGTGTAGTCTGACTGCCCGACCGATTGATGCATCGGGTAGTATTGGAGTATTCATTCGAGACCGAAAACAGCTGCATCAAACGTGTCAGCACGCAGCGTTATTGTACAGCAGCCTAAGCATCTGGTCTCATTGCAGTCGGTCGAATGTTAAGAATGACACGGTCGCACCAGTAAGGCTTCAGTCACATCCGGTTGTGATCATGAGAACTTAAGATGTGAATAGAGCGTGCTTCGTTGCCTGATCTTCGAGCATAGTTGTGGTAGTTTCATTGTGACGAGCAGTACATCTGACAATCGAAGCAGCTGTGCGGTCCGATATTTCAAGTGACCATATCTTTGAAACGAGGAGTCCGTAGAAAGTATAAATGGCTGTTCTGTAGAGAGGGTGTCTATGCGGTTCATTGTAGTGTGCTTGGTTTGCTGTATCAGCTGTTTGATGTGTCAGTGGGAAGTGACACTCGCTCGAGCTAGCACTTTGGCGCAGAGGAAGCGTGTTGGGCTCATAACCCAAAGGTCGTTGGATCGAGACCAACAAGTGCTATCTTTATCCATGGACTCTCTGCATCGCTTGTCTCTGTTAAAACTCGTGTAGTCTGACTGCCCGACCGATTGATGCATCGGGTAGTATTGGAGTATTCATTCGAGACCGAAAACAGCTGCATCAAACGTGTCAGCACGCAGCGTTATTGTACAGCAGCCTAAGCATCTGGTCTCATTGCAGTCGGTCGAATGTTAAGAATGACACGGTCGCACCAGTAAGGCTTCAGTCACATCCGGTTGTGATCATGAGAACTTAAGATGTGAATAGAGCGTGCTTCGTTGCCTGATCTTCGAGCATAGTTGTGGTAGTTTCATTGTGACGAGCAGTACATCTGACAATCGAAGCAGCTGTGCGGTCCGATATTTCAAGTGACCATATCTTTGAAACGAGGAGTCCGTAGAAAGTATAAATGGCTGTTCTGTAGAGAGGGTGTCTATGCGGTTCATTGTAGTGTGCTAGGTTTGCTGTATCAGCTGTTTGATGTGTCAGTGGGAAGTGACACGCTCGAGCTAGCACTTTGGCGCAGAGGAAGCGTGTTGGGCTCATAACCCAAAGGTCGTTGGATCGAGACCAACAAGTGCTATCCTTATCCATGGACTCTCTGCATCGCTTGTCTCTGTTAAAACTCGTGTAGTCTGACTGCCCGACCGATTGATGCATCGGGTAGTATTGGAGTATTCATTCGAGACCGAAAACAGCTGCATCAAACGTGTCAGCACGCAGCGTTATTGTACAGCAGCCTAAGCATCTGGTCTCATTGCAGTCGGTCGAATGTTAAGAATGACACGGTCGCACCAGTAAGGCTTCAGTCACATCCGGTTGTGATCATGAGAACTTAAGATGTGAATAGAGCGTGCTTCGTTGCCTGATCTTCGAGCATAGTTGTGGTAGTTTCATTGTGACGAGCAGTACATCTGACAATCGAAGCAGCTGTGCGGTCCGATATTTCAAGTGACCATATCTTTGAAACGAGGAGTCCGTAGAAAGTATAAATGGCTGTTCTGTAGAGAGGGTGTCTATGCGGTTCATTGTAGTGTGCTAGGTTTGCTGTATCAGCTGTTTGATGTGTCAGTGGGAAGTGACACGCTCGAGCTAGCACTTTGGCGCAGAGGAAGCGTGTTGGGCTCATAACCCAAAGGTCGTTGGATCGAGACCAACAAGTGCTATCCTTATCCATGGACTCTCTGCATCGCTTGTCTCTGTTAAAACTCGTGTAGTCTGACTGCCCGACCGATTGATGCATCGGGTAGTATTGGAGTATTCATTCGAGACCGAAAACAGCTGCATCAAACGTGTCAGCACGCAGCGTTATTGTACAGCAGCCTAAGCATCTGGTCTCATTGCAGTCGGTCGAATGTTAAGAATGACACGGTCGCACCAGTAAGGCTTCAGTCACATCCGGTTGTGATCATGAGAACTTAAGATGTGAATAGAGCGTGCTTCGTTGCCTGATCTTCGAGCATAGTTGTGGTAGTTTCATTGTGACGAGCAGTACATCTGACAATCGAAGCAGCTGTGCGGTCCGATATTTCAAGTGACCATATCTTTGAAACGAGGAGTCCGTAGAAAGTATAAATGGCTGTTCTGTAGAGAGGGTGTCTATGCGGTTCATTGTAGTGTGCTAGGTTTGCTGTATCAGCTGTTTGATGTGTCAGTGGGAAGTGACACGCTCGAGCTAGCACTTTGGCGCAGAGGAAGCGTGTTGGGCTCATAACCCAAAGGTCGTTGGATCGAGACCAACAAGTGCTATCCTTATCCATGGACTCTCTGCATCGCTTGTCTCTGTTAAAACTCGTGTAGTCTGACTGCCCGACCGATTGATGCATCGGGTAGTATTGGAGTATTCATTCGAGACCGAAAACAGCTGCATCAAACGTGTCAGCACGCAGCGTTATTGTACAGCAGCCTAAGCATCTGGTCTCATTGCAGTCGGTCGAATGTTAAGAATGACACGGTCGCACCAGTAAGGCTTCAGTCACATCCGGTTGTGATCATGAGAACTTAAGATGTGAATAGAGCGTGCTTCGTTGCCTGATCTTCGAGCATAGTTGTGGTAGTTTCATTGTGACGAGCAGTACATCTGACAATCGAAGCAGCTGTGCGGTCCGATATTTCAAGTGACCATATCTTTGAAACGAGGAGTCCGTAGAAAGTATAAATGGCTGTTCTGTAGAGAGGGTGTCTATGCGGTTCATTGTAGTGTGCTAGGTTTGCTGTATCAGCTGTTTGATGTGTCAGTGGGAAGTGACACGCTCGAGCTAGCACTTTGGCGCAGAGGAAGCGTGTTGGGCTCATAACCCAAAGGTCGTTGGATCGAGACCAACAAGTGCTATCCTTATCCATGGACTCTCTGCATCGCTTGTCTCTGTTAAAACTCGTGTAGTCTGACTGCCCGACCGATTGATGCATCGGGTAGTATTGGAGTATTCATTCGAGACCGAAAACAGCTGCATCAAACGTGTCAGCACGCAGCGTTATTGTACAGCAGCCTAAGCATCTGGTCTCATTGCAGTCGGTCGAATGTTAAGAATGACACGGTCGCACCAGTAAGGCTTCAGTCACATCCGGTTGTGATCATGAGAACTTAAGATGTGAATAGAGCGTGCTTCGTTGCCTGATCTTCGAGCATAGTTGTGGTAGTTTCATTGTGACGAGCAGTACATCTGACAATCGAAGCAGCTGTGCGGTCCGATATTTCAAGTGACCATATCTTTGAAACGAGGAGTCCGTAGAAAGTATAAATGGCTGTTCTGTAGAGAGGGTGTCTATGCGGTTCATTGTAGTGTGCTTGGTTTGCTGTATCAGCTGTTTGATGTGTCAGTGGGAAGTGACACGCTCGAGCTAGCACTTTGGCGCAGAGGAAGCGTGTTGGGCTCATAACCCAAAGGTCGTTGGATCGAGACCAACAAGTGCTATCCTTATCCATGGACTCTCTGCATCGCTTGTCTCTGTTAAAACTCGTGTAGTCTGACTGCCCGACCGATTGATGCATCGGGTAGTATTGGAGTATTCATTCGAGACCGAAAACAGCTGCATCAAACGTGTCAGCACGCAGCGTTATTGTACAGCAGCCTAAGCATCTGGTCTCATTGCAGTCGGTCGAATGTTAAGAATGACACGGTCGCACCAGTAAGGCTTCAGTCACATCCGGTTGTGATCATGAGAACTTAAGATGTGAATAGAGCGTGCTTCGTTGCCTGATCTTCGAGCATAGTTGTGGTAGTTTCATTGTGACGAGCAGTACATCTGACAATCGAAGCAGCTGTGCGGTCCGATATTTCAAGTGACCATATCTTTGAAACGAGGAGTCCGTAGAAAGTATAAATGGCTGTTCTGTAGAGAGGGTGTCTATGCGGTTCATTGTAGTGTGCTTGGTTTGCTGTATCAGCTGTTTGATGTGTCAGTGGGAAGTGACACGCTCGAGCTAGCACTTTGGCGCAGAGGAAGCGTGTTGGGCTCATAACCCAAAGGTCGTTGGATCGAGACCAACAAGTGCTATCCTTATCCATGGACTCTCTGCATCGCTTGTCTCTGTTAAAACTCGTGTAGTCTGACTGCCCGACCGATTGATGCATCGGGTAGTATTGGAGTATTCATTCGAGACCGAAAACAGCTGCATCAAACGTGTCAGCACGCAGCGTTATTGTACAGCAGCCTAAGCATCTGGTCTCATTGCAGTCGGTCGAATGTTAAGAATGACACGGTCGCACCAGTAAGGCTTCAGTCACATCCGGTTGTGATCATGAGAACTTAAGATGTGAATAGAGCGTGCTTCGTTGCCTGATCTTCGAGCATAGTTGTGGTAGTTTCATTGTGACGAGCAGTACATCTGACAATCGAAGCAGCTGTGCGGTCCGATATTTCAAGTGACCATATCTTTGAAACGAGGAGTCCGTAGAAAGTATAAATGGCTGTTCTGTAGAGAGGGTGTCTATGCGGTTCATTGTAGTGTGCTTGGTTTGCTGTATCAGCTGTTTGATGTGTCAGTGGGAAGTGACACGCTCGAGCTAGCACTTTGGCGCAGAGGAAGCGTGTTGGGCTCATAACCCAAAGGTCGTTGGATCGAGACCAACAAGTGCTATCCTTATCCATGGACTCTCTGCATCGCTTGTCTCTGTTAAGACTCGTGTAGTCTGACTGCCCGACCGATTGATGCATCGGGTAGTATTGGAGTATTCATTCGAGACCGAAAACAGCTGCATCAAACGTGTCAGCACGCAGCGTTATTGTACAGCAGCCTAAGCATCTGGTCTCATTGCAGTCGGTCGAATGTTAAGAATGACACGGTCGCACCAGTAAGGCTTCAGTCACATCCGGTTGTGATCATGAGAACTTAAGATGTGAATAGAGCGTGCTTCGTTGCCTGATCTTCGAGCATAGTTGTGGTAGTTTCATTTGTGACGAGCAGTACATCTGACAATCGAAGCAGCTGTGCGGTCCGATATTTCAAGTGACCATATCTTTGAAACGAGGAGTCCGTAGAAAGTATAAATGGCTGTTCTGTAGAGAGGGTGTCTATGCGGTTCATTGTAGTGTGCTTGGTTTGCTGTATCAGCTGTTTGATGTGTCAGTGGGAAGTGACACGCTCGAGCTAGCACTTTGGCGCAGAGGAAGCGTGTTGGGCTCATAACCCAAAGGTCGTTGGATCGAGACCAACAAGTGCTATCCTTATCCATGGACTCTCTGCATCGCTTGTCTCTGTTAAAACTCGTGTAGTCTGACTGCCCGACCGATTGATGCATCGGGTAGTATTGGAGTATTCATTCGAGACCGAAAACAGCTGCATCAAACGTGTCAGCACGCAGCGTTATTGTACAGCGACCTAAGCATCTGGTCTCATTGCAGTCGGTCGAATGTTAAGAATGACACGGTCGCACCAGTAAGGCTTCAGTCACATCCGGTTGTGATCATGAGAACTTAAGATGTGAATAGAGCGTGCTTCGTTGCCTGATCTTCGAGCATAGTTGTGGTAGTTTCATTTTGACGAGCAGTACATCTGACAATCGAAGCA